CCAGATGATGTAGTACTGGTCCTTCATGTTGCTCACGCTCGGCAGCTTCACCTTCCGGGCCTGGATCGCCCGGAAGTTGGGCACGCCGGCCTTTCGCGCGTGGGGGCGCGGCGCAAACTCGGAGGGCCGAGAGGGGGGGGGGGAGAGGGCGAGGGCGGGAGGGGGAGGGGCCCGTTCTCCGCCTCCTGCTGCCCCTGCACCCCGTCCCCCTCCTCGTCCCCCCTTGTCCCCCGCACTTCGCAGACGACCCCGCCAGCCCTCTGGGCGCGGGTGGTTTAGAGAGCGCCCTCTGCCAACCATTGTCCCGCTGGGGAGCGGTGGCGCAACATGGCGTCCCATTCCCTGCGTCGGCGCCGCTGAGAAGCGTGGTGACCTTCTCGCTCCGACGAGCAAGCTAGTTGTCAAATGGAGATAGCGAATTCGCTCATGTGGCTCGTTTTCCCGCGTCTCCCAGCACCCAGAGAAACAAAACGTATGGGAAATACTGCCCGTCATCGTCCACGTTCTTTCCTGTTCTATTTCGCTGGATACACACAGTGGTGACCCTGGGTGAGCAAGAACGACCTTTGGTGCGCACGTGTGAAAAGAATACTGCCTCAAGCAGAAACGCTTAAACAAGATTTCGAACAAACCACAGATGGCTCTGACAACTAGAAAACAACTCGCGGCAACTGTTGGTCGTCCCCATGGCGCGCAATAGCGCGCCCAACCGCGTGCAACGCGGACACAACGCACCTCCCTCACATGGCTCTGCGGGGAGTGAGGAGGGAAGTGAGAAGGGGAAGGCCCTCTCGGGCGGCGGGGCTCAGCCTTCTGAAAACATCGGTGTTTTTGGGAAAGGCTTTGACTACTTCTTAGAAGGCCGGGGGACTTCCGAGCCTTCTGAGAAGGTTCGCTCCCTCTCACTCCGACAACGGGCGTGTGTGGAGTGCCTCGCGGTCGAGAGCGCGCTCGCGCGCGAGGATTTTGAGTTCGAGCGCGCGCATCTGAATTTTACGCGTGCTCTGTGGCATCCTCCCCTCCCTCCTCCTCCTGCCCCTCCCCTTCCTCCTCCTCTTCCTCCTCATCTTCGTCCACCTCCTCCCCCTCCTCCTCAGCTAAGTCACCGTGTGTTTTGGTATGCCTCCCTCTCACCCAAGAAAAAACAAAAATGGGAGCGGTGGCCGTTCTTGTCCCCCAAACCCTTCTGTGTTTGGTTCTCGTTTCTCGTTTGGAATGGAACGCTGCGATCGCACACCCTCCTCTTTCCTCCCCCATCGTCCTGCCTCCTCCTGCGATGCTCCCTGGGGGGCTGCGAACTACGCAGCTGCCGCCATTGTCGTGGGCTCCTGGGAGGCACGGCGGAATCGGGGAATTGCCGAGACCTCGCAGCCAATCTCGTGATCCCCGGGGAGGTCTAACGGGCTCGGGGCTCACGCCCACCCGAATGAGACAGGGCTCGAGTGAAGCAGTGGTTTCCGTTTTCGCTTTGTGTTCGTCATCCCCAGTTCTGTCTTCCTTCCACACCTGCTGCAACACGAAGCCAAAACGAAAGCGGTCCACGGAATTGCCCAAACACCGCTTAGCTCGAGCCCTGGACTGGCCATCGCTCGGACGTCCATTTCCAGTGTTTTTTTTGTTTCGTGCGTGGTTTTTTCGCGAAATGATCAAGGATGCTCCTCGATGGTCCTCGCCGAAGGAAAAATGCGCACGTCCGAGCGATGCCAAGTGGAGTGAGGCCTTGCTCTTCCCTGGGCGGCCGCGCTCTGCGCCGCTGGCGCCACCCCTCGCTGCGTCCTGCGACTCCCGGGGGGGGGGGGGGCTCGGGGGCCACGCGCACCGGCTTGCCGTCGCTCGGACGTCCATTTCGCGTGCATTGGTCGGTTTCGTGGGTGTTTTTTCTGCTGCTCGATGGTCCAGGAGGGTCCTCAATGGAGAGATGGAAAAACGGCCATACCCTGGGTTACAAGTGCGTGGTCTGTAAACCTCCTCAAAGCCTAGAGCCGCCAGGACGCGGCACATCACGCAGGGTTTACCCTGTCAGCCCGCAGGAGTTTCAGCGCACAGCGCCTCGTACACCAGGGTAGGGGCGTTTTTTTATGCCCCTGACCCAAGGGTCCTCCCCGAGAAAAAAAATGCACACGTCCGAGCGATGCCAGGGCACCCGGCCGAGACCTCGCGCCTCCGTGGGTGGCCGCGAGAGCTGCGCAACACGGGCTCCACATTTCGCGGGCCCCTGGGAACTCCTGCGGGGCCAAGGGGCCACGCGCGCCAAGACGAGACCCGTGCTGCTCCCTGGTGTTGGGTCGGGCATGCCCCCCCAGAGGCGGATTTTGGACGACAGATAAGAGATCGTCGAAACATACACCCAAAATGCTCAAACAGACTCAAACCATCGTCCCAAACCAGATTTTACGTCCCCTGACTATTTTTTGAAACTATTGTTGGATATTCCCCCTGTAGAGGGACACGCCCGACCTCAACCCGGTGGGGGGTACGAACGTCGAAACTGTCGCCGTTTCCGTGGGCCCCCGAACAAGGTCCAGCGAGGGCGAGGGCCACGCGCACCCAGCTGACGCCCAGCTGCTCCACGGGGTGGCCTCGAACTGCGCAAGTGGCGGGTCCACGCGCACCCAGCCGAGGCCCCGCTGCCCCACGGGGCTGGGGGCCCACGCGCACCCACACGAGATCCGCGCTGCTCCCGAGGAGGAGGAGGAGGAGGAGGAGGAGGAGGAGGAGGAGAAGTAAGGAGGAGGAGGAGGAGGAGGAGGAGGAGGAGGAGGAGGAGGAGGAGAAAGTTCGACGAGTCCGCGCTCTGCGCAACTGGCGCCATGTTCGTGGGCGCTTGGGAGGTCAAACGGGATCGGGGGCCGCGCGCACCCAGCCGACACCTCGCTGCCCACTGGGTGGCAGCAAATTTCGCAATGGTCGCGACTTTCGTGATCTCCTGGGAGGTCCAAGGGGGGTCGGGGGCCACGCCCACCCAGACGAGATCTCGCAGCTCCCTGGGATGCTGCGAGCTGTACAACTGGCGCTACTTTTCGTGGGCTCCTGGGAGGTCCAGCGGGGTCGGGGACAACGCGGATCAAGCCGAGACCTCGCGGATCCCTGGGAGGCTGCGAAATGCGCAATTGCCGCCACTTCCGTAAGCTCGTGGGCAGCACGGCGGGGGTGAGGGCAGCGCAGGTCTTGCATATCTGGCGATGTGTTCTGTCGTAAAGAGCGATCAAGCAACCGATCGCCTCGCGAAGAAAAGGGGTTGGGGTACGTTTCGGTTATTATGTTGTTTGGGGACGGGTGGGGGGGGGGCACAACAAAAGGATTCCCTACGGAGGAGCCAAAAGAAACATATCCCTAGCCGAAGATTCCGCACGAACGATGTTCAGCACAGCCGAACGAAGGACTCCCAGGAAACAGATCTTTACATATATTCCCTACGAGTGATCCATTGCCACAGACTGTTTACGAATGATTATGTGACCCCATCAATCGGATTTCATACCTCGGCTTCCTAACTGAGGATCTCTCGCTAATGACTCCGTAATATGGGACCCTTGGTAAGGACCCCCTACGGTTCCCGTATCAGGCTTCCGATATGTCCTTGTCCTAAGGACACCGTTTAAGAAAAATGCATTACCAAGGACTCCCCCGACGGATTCCTTACGAATGGTTCCTTGGTGCGATGCAGAGCTCACCATGGTTTACCAAGGCTTACCAAAGCTTAGCAGCGCCGACCAAGGACTGACTACTGCTTCCCAACGACTACCATGGTTTAGCAATATTAGCCAAGGCTGAGCACGGCTTGACTGGGCTTGGAAATGCTTAGCAGCGCTTTGCCAGAGAGCAATACTGCATAGCAAAGCTCCGCGTGGCTAAGCAAGCCCTAGAAGGGCTTTGCTAGGCAGAGCAGCATTCACCAGGGCCCAGCCAGGCTTAGCAAGGCTTAGCAAGGCTGACTGAGCTTACCTGGACTGAGCACTGCTTGGCAAGCCCCCAGGTCTTAACAACACTTACCAGGGCTTAGCAAAGCTCACCAAACCGTAACAGAACCCAACATGGTGCACCAAGACTTAGCATGGCTCAGCAGAGCTTGCCACAACTTAGGAATGCTTGGCACGGCTTAGCCGGGCGTCGCAAGTTCTGCCTGGGCTGACCGGGGCTCACAAGGGCTTGGCAAGGCTTACGCGGTCGTGGCAGGCCACGGCCACGCCCGCCCAAAGGGCGGAAGGCGCAAGGGCCGGGCAACCCCACAGACGGCCGACAGTCCCCCCAAGGGAACCCTCCCCCGCCGAGGAAGGCGCAAAGTTCCTGAGAAGGGACTGGTGGCCGCCTGTTGGTTTCCACTGAGCGTTGAGGAATTTTGCGCCCTCCGTGGCGGTGGCCGTGCCTGTGCACAGTCGGGGCATTGACCTAAGGAACCCTAAATAAAGAACAAGACCCTTTTGTTCATCAGTTAGACTTCGGCTTCCCATCGAAAACCGAAGGGAAAACTTAGGCAAACTGCGAAACAATCAAGAAACACCGGGCCCCTCCCCAACGAAAAGGGTTCCTTCCTCTACGCCCCGAATGGTAGGTCGCTGCCCCCCTCACCCGCTAGCATGTGCCCTCCTCCCACAAGCCACAGGTGCGGCAGCAAGGCGCGTGCTTGGTAGAAGGGTGACTTAGATTATACTTGTTTGTTGTTTGTTCCTGGCTAACGCTTTGGAACAACAATCTGATTTGGACAACGCACCGCTTGCTCCGCGACCAAGACGGGCAAGTCTTTGCCGATTGAACCGAGAGCCAGGTATTCCGAATCAATGCGGGCGTTCGCAAAGGTTGCGTTCTCAGCTCTGTGCTGTTCGCAGCAGGTGCTGGAGTCGGCCATGTACGCGTAGAAAGCTCGCGTCGCAAATCTTAGATTTCATTTCGGTGACGGTTTGAGGCCGATCATAGATCGACGTTTTGCCGGCGAGATTTTACTTGTCGCCTAAGAATCGGAAGAAAATGAATTGCTGCTAGACGCCCTGATTGACATTTTGGCAGAAGGTGGATTGATCCTGAACGCGACCAAAACGGTGATCATGACAACCGAGGCGCAACTGCAACAAATCACCACGCGGGCCGGTGCGGCTAATCAAGTTTTGCTCCAGCGTGCCGCCCGTAGGCGGCTTGGATGCATGTCGGCCGTTGGTGGTTCTGGACGTATCATCTCACAACAACGAGTCCAACGTTCTTCAAAAACAAGGCCACCTCGTGCGGCTGGAGTGCTTTTCTAACTGTTTCCCTTGAGTTCTTCCGTCGCGTCGTGACGTCAATAGCGTGTTTGGGAGCAGTATGGAAGCCGCATAGCGACTCATTGCACAAAATGGATGTTAAATTCAGGCGATTGTCGCGGCACGTCGTAAGTCGTTGGCCCGCCTGCAGGCATTCACTGGTCTCAACCTTGGCATGAGCGTCTTGCGGCACGAAAGGGTCCGTCAAACATTGACGGGACATGGTATTCGCACGTGGCCAAGAGAACCCTTGAAGAGACATTGGTTTTGCAGCATACGTTGTGCGTTTGCCTCTGGAGCGGCGTCGTCGTCATCGCCATCGCCGTCGCCGTTGCTGTCGTCGGCGTCGTCGTGATCGTCGTCGTCGTCGTCATCGTCGTCGTCGTCGTTGTCCCCCGTCAGGGTCGGCGGCACCGGCCAGACGGCCTTCGTAACACTGGGATTTATCAACATACGTTGCGCGTTTGCCTCCGGAGCGGTGGGCGCGGAGAGCCTTGAGTTGGACGCCGCTGGGCTCGCGCACGCAACGGGGTCGTTTTTGTTGTCGTGGGATGCAAAGATAAATGCGCTTTGCCTCGAAAATCACATCGGATCGTGGCAAGTAGCCGCGCGAGATGGCCTCGCGTGGGCAGATATCGAAGAGGAATTCGTGGAGTTCTGCGCATGAACATTTATCTCATGACTTTTGGATGAAATCACATCTGAATGCGGAGCGCGTCTCGCGAGCGAGAAGCTTCTTTCGGCAGGTTCGCGTCGTGTGGACCCCGGCGTGGTTCCTGACACCGCGGGGATCGTTCAAACTTGAACGATCGGCCCTTTCGAAAAGGCCGGACCGTTCATGGATGAGCCGATCCTGGGCCACGGGCGGCGTTCAACCTTCAACGCCCGCGCCGGGGTCGCCGCCGGTCGACGCGACGCGAACCTGCCGCACCATCCCTCTCCTCGAACGCCTTCGCCAGTCCGCCGCCCTGCCTCCTCCCTCTTACCAGCCTCGAACGTATCCCTATCCCTAAGATTGACACGTCAAAAGGCGATGACAATATTAAGAATTCGCCCTCAAAAAACAAGGGAACCCCTAAGATTGGCATCGTCACGAGGAGGTGCCCAGCATAGGGATAGGGACATGTTCCAGGCCGGTGACCTCCCTGTCTGCCTCCGCTCCCGCTCCCGCTCCCCCCTCGCCTGCCCTCTCCTCGCTCCCCCGGCTCCTCGGCTCCTGCCTCTCCCCGCCCCTGGGGCGGGCGAGCTCACACGGCGGCCCAGGAGAGCTGCCCCATGCGTCCTCCCCCGAGCCGCCGCGCTCAGGCGCCCGAGAGGCTCCCGCGCGCCCGCTTGCGTGTGGGCCCGCTCTCGTGCGAGCGGGGTGTCTCGACTTGGCTCGACTTGGCTTGGCTTGACTTGCTGTGGTTGTTGCTGTTGTTGCTGCTGTTGTTGTTGTTCTTGTTGAACTCTCACTTCTGAGAACCACTATTCTTGAACCCCCTGGCGCACAGTCCGTTCTTCCCATTGAAGTGCCCCTTCCCGGGACCCGCACCCTGTTTCGATCGGGGAACTTACTGACCCCCTGGCCCCCGAACTACAACGACAACGGTTCCCGCCAGATGCTTCCTCACAAATTAATCCAACATCTCGCTCTCGGGCGGGACTTCCTCACGAATTATGCAGGAATCGCGTTCTCGCGTGGGAATTCCTCGCAATTTATTCAGACGCCGCGCCCTCAACACTCAGGAATCACGCTCTCGCTTCAGCCTGTCTCACGATTTACTTGGGAATCGGGCTATCGCTCGAAACTTTCTCGCGATTCATGCAGGGTCCGCGCTTCGGCAACCCGCCTGGTCGACCCGCTAGGGTCTGCCCGCCCGATCCGGCCGCCTGGTTCTGCCGCGTGTTTTCTCTTCCTAGCCCCCTCCTGCTAATCTTTATCGTGCTCCATCCTTCCACCTCCCCCTTTTGTCCGTCCTCTTCCCCCGTTTTAGGACCTGCACTCAATGCACGTGGCAGGTAAGGAATAGATACCCGAAGAGGACACGATTGAACACGAAAACGGCGGGTACCGAGGGTTTGGGATATACGTGTGGAGTAGCACTCGAGCAGATAGGCGCGAGCAATCTTGGCATGATTGCTGTTGTTGTTGTTGTTGCTGCTGCTGAGGCTGCTGCTGTCCCCCCCCGAGACCCACCCCGCGCCCGCCCGCGAGCCGCCCACATTGCTTTGACGAACAAATCCTGCGTCTGCGGCGGGCTCGTCCTGTAATATGTTGGAAATCGGCGCCCGCGGCTGGCATCCGCAACTTCGCCCTCGAGCCTCGCAAGCTGCCAGCGATGCTCCCCCCGCCGCCTCCCTCTCATCCGCAAGGGCGGGGGTGCCACGCTTTTGCCCTCACCTGAGGGCCCAGGCTCGTGTGAAGACAGACCACGCAGTGACCTCGGAATCCCAAGAGACCCGAAGGCAAGGTCTCGGGACCCTGGAGGCCCCGGTCGCCCGAACCGCCCTCGGAAGACAACCCGAGTCCCACCACCGTGCGGTGACCCCGAATCCCCACTGACACTTTTTTGATTGACGGCTCCAGGGACAGATCCGAGAAGCGGGACGGGCGCGGCTAGGGCACAGGGCGAGATAATTGGCTACGACGGCGCATAGGCCGACGCAACACGGGGAGGAGGCGAGAGGCAAACACGATGAGGAGGCGAGAGAGCAAGGAAAGGCGGCGGGGGCGAGAGCAAGCGCGGGCGGATGAGGGGGAGCCGAGGATCCCCACTGACACACCCAGAAGACACAAAAACGCTAAAAACATACACTTTTGGCGCTCCGCGCGGGTTTCTGGAAGCCGCGCTGGAGCGCGCCAGGGGAGGGCGCCAGAGGCGGCGCTTGAGGCGCCGCGGGGGGGGCCCAGCGCGGATCCAAGAGATCCGCACGGAGCGCCCAACATTTGTGTTTATGGCGTTTTGTCCTTTCCATCAGCACACAGTGTGGTCACCACACCGTTTGGGAGTCCCCGGCGCACCCTCCAGGGGGGGGGGGGGAAGGGGATCCGTGGCCGCCTGGTGGGTCGCCGACCGGAAGCGCGCCACGGCAGGCTCGCGCTTCTGCAGCAGGCGCGGGCCCTGCGCCGGGGGCATGGTCCTCCTCCTCCTCCTCCCTCTCCTCCTCCTCCTCCTCCTCCTCCTCCTCCTCCTCTCCCCCCCCCTTTCATCTCCTTTTCCTCCTCCTCCTCCCTCCTCCTCCTCCTCCTCCTCCCCCTCCTCTCCCTCCTTTTCCTCCTCCTGTTCCTCCTCCTCCTCCTCCTCCTCCTCCCGGGGGCAGCGCAGGGGGGGCATCGATTAATCGGGGAGACGTAAGACTCGGATAAGTACGGGGAGCTCGGGATGGCCTGACGGGGCCATCAGCGAAAATGACGAAACCCAATCTGAAATCTGACGCGAACTCCCGCTGCAAGCATCCCGCGAACTCTGGACCGTCAAAATCCAAATCGCGCTCGTCAGAGAGCGTCGGCGAACCCGAGTGCAGGCTTACTCGAGTCTTACGTCTCCCCACTCGAAAACCCGATGCCCACTGCAGTAGCCCCGGCCGCTGGCCGACTTGCTCACCCAGATGAGGGTCTACGCCTGCTCCGTCGGGCTTCGCGTGGCCTGTCCCCGACTGCAGGAGGGCTGGCTGGTGGGACCGAGATGCCATGGGCCGGCGGGGCTGGGGACAAGCTAACTCAGCGCCCCTCGAACGGGGTCTCCACGACCGGGGATTTTGGCCAAAAAACCGGCGAACCCAGCCCTCCCCGATGTGGGGCAACGCTGCAATGCCACGGAAAAAGGCCTCAGAATGGCAACTTCTGGCACATCTCTGAAATACCCGTCAATGAGTACCCGTGACGGTGCCGCTGATTACACCGATCTGAACAACTGCAAGGAGAGAGGGGGGACCTGGAGGATGAGGATGAGGAGGAGGAGGAGGAGGAGGAGGCGGGTTGCACGTTGCTTGAAGGGGGTGGCGACGAGCGAAGAGATGTGCACCTTTTGCGCATCTTCGGGGCCCAAGGGAGCGATTTTGGGGTCTTCTTTTTGTCCCGCAGCCCACAACCCTCCACCATTTATCGCCGCCGCACCCCCCTCGCGACCCGCCCGAAAGGAGGAGCATTTAGAGGACTCCTGTCCCTTTGGGGGCGGACCTCAGCTAAGAGGCCCAACGCATCAGGGCCGAAGAGGGTCGTTTCAGAATATGCATCCAACGAAACCACCTAGATCCATGACCCCTGATGCCGAAACGGGGACATCAGTCAGTCAGGCTACGTCTTTACTGTGTTATCGAGGTTTGGGGCGCTGCTTTCCTCGGTCACGAGATGGGGAGGGGAAGCAATGGGGGGGATGGGGGCCTGAGACGGGGGCAGAGGCGGGAGGCAGCAGCGGGGGGGGGGGGGGGGCGTTTGGGGGGGGAGTGGGCCTGCGACGGGGGCTGTGCAGAAGAGGGAGGGGGGGGGGGGAGACGGCAGCGGCCGAGAGGGGGGGGGTGCGGGGAGAGGCAACACACCACGCGGGGCTGGCATTCGATCAAACTCCTGCGGAAAAAGGGGCGACCATTGCTCTGGCACTCGGGCTGCAGCGCCCATCTGGGGAAGTCGGGCGGAGCTTAATGGGGGGGCGATGAATGGAGGGGGGAGGAACGCGCACTGCTCGTGCCTCAAAGGCCGCCTCCTATGTGTCCCTGAAGGGCACCTTCGGGGGCCCTAAAGGGATCTGTCCTGCAGACCTCGCTGCCCCCCCCACCCTTACCACCTCCACACTACGCGACGCCCAGGGAAGGGGACCAAGCAACTGCCCGAGGGGGGGGGGGGGGAACGTCCAGCCTGTGTTGCGACAGCCTCATGGTTTTTGCCGCGGCGCCGTGGCCACAACAGTCTGTGCTGAAATGATTGAATCAAGCTGCTGCGGAGAGTGGGACGATCACCACTCCGACAACCAAACTGACTCAAGCACCAACCGTTTTGGGGACACCAAGAGGTACTGATACCACTACTCCCCAAAGAACTCTCCTGGGGTGCGTTCTGACCGGCATTTCGACGCGAATCCAGCGGTGGCGACGAGGGCCCCCCAGGAGGCCCCAACAAAGGGGAAACGAGGGAAGGGCATCGCCATCGGAACCTTTGCCTTCTCTGACGTCTGGTGGAGACGACAAGTTCGATTATGAAGAGGCCCTGGGACACACACATAAATACACACAAATAAAATGATTCCCCACTTTTTCCCATATTTTCGCGGTTTTGTCTTCCCCCCCCACTTCCCATATTTTCCTATATTTTCTGGGGTATCGACGATTAATTGTGTCTGTGTGTTTCTTTCCCTCCTGAGTGATTCGGGAGCGGCAAAGAGGGGGGAGTCCAAGAGGGAGGGGTGCAAATCATGATCGTCGGCATGTGCGCGGCCCAGCGGGGGGGGGCCAGGGACGTAATGAAACAAGAAAAGGCGCCATGAAATCTGGGGGAAAATCATGGCCCACGCCATGATATCCACGCCCCCCTAGTCATCACCCCCCTCTTTTCCGCCCCCGAGTGATCTTCGACGTCATGCCTTTGCTCATCCAAGGGGAGGGGGGGACCGTCGCCCACACGCCCGAGCGCGCCGGAACAGGAGCGAGGCAGGACAAGGGCAGGCCGACGAGAGAAGCGACGCGCAGCTCGACCGGCGAAGAACCCCGCGAGCGAGCGGAGGCGCACTCGAGCGCAGGCAACCACAGCCCAGTAAGGCGCACACCCGGACAAGCCTTCCTCCCCATCCCCCTCCTCGTCTGCCTCCTCCTCCTGCCCCTCCTCCTGCTGCTCCGCGCCCTCCTGCGTCGCCCGCTCCTCCGACTCCCACTCTCCTCGCCCTCCTACTGCTCATTCCCCCCTCCCGTCCTCCCCCTGCCCCTGCTCTCCCTCCTCATCCTCCTCCGCATCCTGTTCCTCCTCCTCCTGCTGCTCCACCGGGTCCTCCGCCTCCTCTTCCTCCTCCTCCTTCTCCTGCTCCTCCGACTCGCATTCTCCTGGTCCTCCTGCTGCCCATTCCCCTCCGCTGCTCTCCCTCCTCCTCCTCCACCTCCGCATCCTGATCATCCTCATCCTTCTCCTGCTGCTCCACCGCGTCCTCCGCCTCCTCCTCCTCCTGCTCCTCCTCCCCGTCCTCCTCCTCCTCCTCCTCGTCGTCCTCGTCGTCTTAAGGGTCGGCGGCACCGGCCGTAAGACCTTCACAAGACCAAGCATGGGGAAATGCAGTGGGCACCATGTGTTCACAGAGGAAACAAAACTGTAAGCACCTAGGACGGTCGCTGTCATGACAATGTTGGTTGTTCCAATAACGAAAAATTGCAATCGCAAACGCTCCAATGTTTCAAATGGCAGAAACAGAAGTTTTCACATGGTTTCCTGATTTCCTGGGGAACTTCCGCGGCCCCCACGGCGCGCCATCTGCACATCCTCCCTGTACACGTGGTACGCACTTGAAAATGGAGCACGTCAGTGTTAGTTCTGTGGATTCCACGCTGCTTCTGATCGCGGGTCATTGTCGCATTCGTTCGAAAAAGTGAATTATCTGCGGAAGCGTCGCCGTGGGAGCGTGGAAGCTCCACAAGAGGACATGAAACAAACACAACGAAATAATATAACAACAATTAGAAAACACGTGCTTTCAGATGGAAGCATGAGAGACACACTAAAATCGATAGTTGCGTGACTGTCAGTAGCTATAGTTGTACAGCGAATTACATCAACGACAGTCGCGGGTCGTCCTGACTCCTGCCATGTAAAAACTCATGTGATTCACAATGGTTGCTCAATGCTTTCCCGAAAGCATCCGAAGCCACATTAAACAGTGGATGCGCATGGAGGTTTCGGTGTGGGGATTCGCAATGTCACGTGGAATGCGAGCAGTTCGACATGGATTTAATTTTGGGGAGCGCGTTAGCTTCAGGTCTCATACAGAAACGCATGAAGACCACATTAAACCCTGACGCGGCTCGTTAAGAAAATACTTTAAACCCAATGCCTGAGTACATGGGGAACGAATGAAGTTAGTACAACCTGTGTCAGCCACAAGCTTCAGTGATTACAACAGAAAAATGATGTCAGTCTCAGGTCTCCTTAACTTGTTAGACTCCTCCCATCAAAGACACGCTGCCCACTTTTGCCATGCTGTCCTTGCTGTCCTGGTATGCTTTCGCAGCCCCAGCGGCCCTGCCCTGCCTCGAGAACTCCTTTGCACAAATGCGACCAAGCTATTAATAAACAGAGAGAGGGGGCCGAACGGTCATTCATTGTCCCTGGGTGCGTGGCTGAAGTGAGAATCCCGTGGTGAAGATTCTGCTTGTTGCGTTGTTGTTATTGTTGTTGAATGTGAATTACTAGATAGTGAATATAACGACAACAACACTCCCGCTCGAGACTTCCTCCCTTCTTACTCAGGGCTGGTGTTCTTGCTCGCCGCCGAAAACCGCCGTCCTAACAAAACCAGCGCTCCCGCTCGAGACTTCCTCCTGTTTTACCTTGGACTGGCGCGCTAGTCTTTCTCTCATCGGCGCCGCCCCCAGCAAAAAAAACGCCCCCGCTCGAGGCTTCATCCCTTTTTACTCAAGGCGGTGCTCCTCCTCGCCGCTGAAAACCGCCGCCCCGACAAAACCAGCGCTCCCGCCCGAGACTTGGCGCTGGGCTGGCGCCCTGTTCTCTTTTGAATTGGCGCCGCTCCCAGCAAGAACAACGCTCCCGCTCGAGATGTCCCTCTCTTTTTCCTCGGGACGATGCTGTTCCTCGCTGCAGGCAGCCCCCGCCCCGACAAAACCACGGCTCCCGCTCGATGCTTCTGCCTTTCTTACTCAAGGCGGTGTTCCTCCTCGCCGCCGAAAGCCGCCGCCCCGACAAAACCAGCGCTCCCGCCCGAGACGTCCTTCCGTTTTACGCTGAACTGGCGCCCTGTTCTCTTTTGAATTGGCGCCGCTCCCAGCAAGAACAACGCTCCCGCTCGAGATGTCCCTCTCTTTTTCCTCGGGACGATGCTGTTCCTCGCCGCAGGCAGCCCCCGTCCCGACAAAACCACGGCTCCCGATCGATGCTTCTTCCTTTTTTACTCAAGGCGGTGTTCCTCCTCGCCGCCGAAAGCCGCCGTCCCAACAAAACCAGCGTCCCCGCTCGAGAATTCGTTTTGTTTTACGCTGGGCTAGCGCCGTACTTTCTTCAGCATTTTTGGCCGCTCCCAACAACAGCAGCACTGCTCGAGACTTCCTCCCTTTCTATGCATGGCCAGGTCCTTGCCTCACCGCCGACAGCCCCCATCCCCACCAAGACAATCCTGCCGTTCGATACTTCCTTGTGGTTTACCCTTCGCTGGGGTCCCATTGGCGGTCTCGCATCGGCGCAGCAGGGCGCGGGCATGTGTTTTCGAGGCGGGATATGTGAACTTCCTCGGAGGTGTTTGGAAGACCTCATTGGGCGGGAGATCTGGGAATGGGGATAACGGACCCGTCTATATAACAAGAGTCCCCACTGATAGGGATGGTTATCGTGATTGAAAACATCGCGCATGAAGGTAGCACGATTGTTGTTGTTGTCGCCGTTGTTGTTGCTGTTGCTGTTGTTGTTAGTGCTGTTGTTGTTTGTCGTCGTCGTCCCCCCCGCGACCCCCCCGCTACCCACCCCGCAACCCACCCCGCAACCCACGCGCGACCCAACCCGCGATCCACCCACGACCCACCCCGAGACCCACCCCGCGACCCAACCCGCGACCCACCCCGCGACCCAACCCGCGACCCAACCCGCGACCCACCCGCAGCCCACCCCGCGACCCACCCGCGACCCACCCCGCGACCAATCCCGCGACCCACCCGCGACCCACCCCGCGACCCATCCGCGACCCACCGGCGACACACCCCGCGACCCATCCGCGACCCACCCACGACCCACCCCGCGACCCACCCGCGACCGATCCGCATTGGTTTGAAGAAAAAATCGGCGCCTGCGGCGGGCTCTTTGCATAATTTGTTAAACTTTGGCGCCTGCGGCGGGCTTCTCCAGAGTCTCGCAGACTGCCGACGTCTCCACCGCCCCCTCACTCTTATCCGCATCTGCGGGGTGCGATATCAAATTTGCGGTGACGTTTTCAAGATAATTCTTCTGTGCTGAAGCCTGAACATCGACCTAAGCAGAATCCAGACTTTTTAAAAAGCAAATAGAAACAACCAGGAACAACAAAAAAACACCACACCAAGACATTCTTCAATATTATAAACGGGGAGCGCCCGGTTGAGCGCCAGCGCGCGGGGTGTTTTGAGGTGGGAACACCCCGCGCGTTGACGCGCTCCGACGACGGAGCCATTTGCGGATAGGACGTAGGGGGGGTGTGCCGGGGGGCGGGGGAGGGGCGACGGCGTCCTTCGCGGATGGGACGTAGAGGGGGGGGGGGAGGGGGGAGGGGGGGGGCGATCACGGCGACGGGGTGCGACGACGGCGCTCCTTTGCGGAGAGGATTTAGGGGGAGGGGCCGGGGGTGCGACGAGCGCGTCGGTTGCAACGACGGCGGCATCTGGCGCCCTTTGCGGACAAGACGTAGAGGGGGGGGGGTGCGACGACGGCGTGGCGACGACGACGGCGCTGGGGCGCGACGACGGGCGCCCTTTGCAGATGGGACATAGGAGGGGCGGGGGGGAGGAGGGTGCGACGACGGGGCGCCGAGATGCGACGACGGCGACCCCTTTGCTGCGGCGACGGCTGCGCCGGGCCAGGGTGCGACGATGTCGCCTCCTCCTCCCTCTCCCCCCCTCACGCCGGTTCGCTCCGCCGGCCGCCGCGGCCCATGCCCGAGGAGCGCTTGGGGGGGGGGCGATAAGAGAGAAATATAGTTACTCCGGAACCCGGGAACCTTTCTAATCTTTGCCTGGACAGTGGAGCGGAGGGCCCCCCCCGGGCGTTTTCTAGTAATTTGCTCACATTCTAAATCAACGCGTAAAACTGTCAACGTGCAGTTCTCTGTAATTCGTTTGAAGTTGAGATCATGTGCGCTTGTGACAAAACCCGCACGCACTTGACAAACACAGAAAGGCACTGGGTGCAACCGCAAAAACGAAGGATCCTACAACCCTTCCTTCCGCCGAAAATGCCACGTAACTTCGGGAGTTCGAGCCTCGGCATGCGCGAATCTCGGGGGCTGCTGGGGTCGCTACTCCTCTCAGGGCCTGGCGAAAGAGGGGGATATACATACTGCAGACAAGGGCTGGGCGGGGGAACCAGCTGCGTGCAACCTGTTTTCGATGGAGCGCCCATGGCTCTGAGGGGCGGCCGCGGATCAAGGAGGGCCTGTGGTGCCGTGTCAAAAAAAACAGCTACACGCAGCAACTTCCTTGACCTATCTTTTCAAATACCCCTTTTGTCCGACCCGAATTTCGAACCTCGATGGCTGTTGGCGTCGCTGCTCCAAAGCCTTCATCGGCGACACCAGGGCCGACAACCGACCGAACTGACAGCGCAATCGAAATGGACCGAAACCGAATCAGGCGACGCGGCTGGTGAGGACGCGGCGATGCAGCAGCGAGGTAACAAGCGACAGAACCGAACCAACCGAACGAAATCGCGACTACAATGCAGCCGAACCGAACGAACCACGCACTTCTGCACGGCTTCCCCCGGGGCCGTAAGCGACCCGAGGGGGAGGAGGAGGAGGTGGAGTAGGGGGAGGGGGAGGAGAAGATGGAGGAGGAGGAGGAGGAGGAGGAGGGAGGAGGAGGAGGAGGAGGAGGAGGAGGAGGAGGAGTCGCCTAAGCCCTTCGGAGAAACCCTCCAAAGCCCCAGGTAGGCCAGACCAAAGCGATCCTCGCAGCTAGGAGCTTGCAGCTCGAGTGCCCGCGATGCCGCTTCTCCCACCAGGGAGGGGAATCCGCAACGCATCGCAGCCCTCATCCCTTGAGGGATCCTCCGAAGGGCTTAGGCGACCCGTCCTCCTCCTCCACCTCCTCCTCCTCCTCCCTCCTCCTCCTCCACCTCCTCCTCCTCCTCCTCCTCCTCCTTCTCCTCCTCCTCCTCGGGTCGCCTACGGCCCCCGGGGAAACAGTGCACCCCTCCCTGGTGCGCGGAGCGCGCCAAGGGCGGCGCCAGAGGCGCCCCTAGGGGGCACCAGCGCAAATCCGAGAAATCCGCTCAGACCTCTGGCAACTGTTCACTTGTCGATTGTTCGGCCATTGCACCGTCCGTGAGATCCGGCGTTGTCAACAAAATTGAAACATCGCGAATAACCAAGACAGGTTCCCTATACCCCATCTCTCTGCAACATCTCTCGAGCCGGATCAATCCGGGAGGGTCCCAGGGCAAGAAACCAGGCGAAAACGCCCTGTGTGACAAAACTGCAATGATATGGCTCTCAGGGCTGGCGGCGCGCACAATGGGGTAGGGGGACGGCATCTACAAGCAAGGACCGCGCCTTCGAAGAACCAGCCTCCTTCTAAGAAGCCTTCCCCCCTACCCCCTCTGTCAGCATTTTCTCAGGGTGGAGGGCTCAGGGTGAAGTCCATGTGGGCTTTGCACGTCTTGTAATTCACCTTTTGCAGATTCAAGCCTCGAACATCCATCGAAACGGTATTTTAGATTTCACCCTTCGCCCTCCACGACAGGGGGGGAGGAGGAGGAGGAGGAGGAGGAGGAGGAGGAGGAGGAGGAGGAGGAGGAGGAGGAGGAGGAGGAGGAGGAGGAAAAAGAGGAGGAGGAAGAGGAGGAGGAGGAGGAGGAGGAGGCGGCCCTCCTCGACGAATCTGTGCCGAACGAGCCGAGTCTGCGTCGGAGCCCCTCGCCGGACGTGCGCCGACCCAGCCCGCCGAGCTGGCCGCCGGGCGGCCTCGAGCGTCTGCTCGGGGCGGGCGCCGACGAAGGCGCCCTCCTGCGCGCGGCAGGACTTCCATACAGTCGGGGCGTTGACCTAAGGAACCCTAAATAAGGAATGGGGCCCCTTTCTCCCATAAGTTGAACTTTGACTTCCCATGGAAAATCTCAGGAAAACAGAAGGCAAACTGTAGAATAATCAAGGAACACTGAGCCCCTCCCCAACGAAAAGGGTTCCTTCTTCAGGGCCCCGGCTGTACGTCCATACAGTAGGTTTGTGCGGCGTCGACGCGCGCAAAGGTTCTTGAGACCGCGTCGATCCTTCAACCTTGAACCGATCGCGGCCCCGATCGTTCAAGGTTGAATCCCGTCGGGCCCAACGGCGTTACGTCCCTCGGTGCTTCCGCGTCGTTCTATCATGAGGCGTTCAACGTTGAACGCCTTCGCCGGCGTCGAGGGCGCGCAATCGCCGCACGAACCTACCGTAACCAATATTCCTCCCTGGCCTCTGCTTCCCCTTCCTTTCGGGGAGACCTAAGACTCGGATTCGGGGGGCTCGGGTTGGCCCCACGGGGCCGCCAAGAACACGACGAGACCCAGTCTGAAAGTCGACGCGAGCTCCCGCTGCAAAACCATTCCACGAAAGCCGGCCCGTCAAAATCCAGGACGATTCCGTCGAGAAGCGTCGGCAAACACGAGGTTCGGCTTACTGCAGTCCTACCTTCCCCCCCTTCTGTCTTCGGGCCCGTCAGAATCCAGGACGAGTCCGTCGAGAAGCGCCAACAAATTCGAGATTCGGCCTACTGCAGTCCATTTGCCTCCCGGTCACGGCGCACGTCTGAATCTTCCAGGAGGTAACGGTCTCCCCACCCTGTCTCCGCCAGGTCTGGACGGCTGTCCACAAGAAATGGTTCGTTTCGTTCCGTCTCCTGCGCGCGGGGGAAGGAAAGTTGTCGTCAACCCTGAGGGTAACCAAACCCCTGAGATCCGGGCGGTGCAAATCTTTCACACCGTACGTTCTCGCTTGGATTCAGCCCGATGTGCCATCACAGATCGTAGCGGCTCTACAAGTGTCGCAGAATAACTGAGTTTAAGGACGTCGCAAACGTTTCGCAACGTCGGATCTCAAAGACATCAAACCTCCTCGCGTCTCGAAGCGATAACGGCGGGCGGGTTCTTGCAATTTCTGGTTCCCGGGGGCCTTCGCCGAGCCTCAGGGCCGTCAACGCACGGCTCACGGTGAAAGACTGGTCCTTGGGAATGGGTCGAGATCCCCAGGTGTCACCGTTGGAGGCGGCTTGTCTCCAGATCCTGGCAAGCCTGCGTGCATGGAGAGGGGGGGAGGCGTGGCGAGGCCCGAACCTTGCCTCGCTTCTGAAACCCAGGGAGAAGGGAGCGGGTGGCGGCCGGGGGGGGCTGGAAGAACAGGAACATGTCTTCTGACGGCAATCACTTCGAGACGCCGTCTGGTGCAGGGGCGACGCGCTGAGTGGACTCTCGCATCCCCTCCTTGAAGGTGCGGGCCCAGGTGGCTGCTGCGAGGAGCGCGCGCACTGCACGCGCGGGCGACGTGGAACAGCATGCGAACGCGACTGATGCGGCAAATTGGCGCCGGCGAGTGAGCAAGGAGCTGCAGAGAAACCTACCCGGACAAGAACGGGACGCGCCGCTTCTCTGTACTAACGTGCGCCCGCCCGCATGGATCTGCACCCACCACGCACGTGCGCACATAGGGGTGCAATCGCCGGGCTCCCCTGCATGCCCACCCGGTTGCCACCGGCAGCTGGTGTTGAATGGTTGCCTGCGGTCGCTCTGGTCAAGCGCTGCGCGTGGTCTGCGTGCGCGTGTGTGCGCCTGTGACCGTGTGCGTGCGCGTGTGTGTTTCTTGCGAGGCGGGGATGTATCCATATCCACCGCCTCGGAACCGACGTCCTGGTGCCCTAGCGGGCGATAGAGACGAATATGTGTCGGCCCCCGGGGGCCCGAACATGTCCAGGTCCACCGCCTGCCCAGGCTTCGAAAACTGACCCTCCAGGCAGCGGACACGTATACGTTCCCGCCTCGAGCTTCTGCGCTCCGGGCACTGTGAGGGCCGGGGCGCCCGTCGCCGCGCTCGGCTCCGGCAGCGCAGGGCCCGCGGCACCGCGGCGCCCACGAGACCGGGCCTGGCGCCGCCGTGCGGGCCGCGGCGCCCCGCACGCGTGCGCGCGCGCACGCCCCCGCGAGCTGCACGCGCCGCGCGCGCGGCCCCGCGGCGCGCGCGGCAGCCACCGAAGGAGGCGCCGCCGAGGCCCCTCGGGCCCGACGGGGCCGCGCCACCGTGCGACGCCGGGGCCGCCGCGCCGGGAGGGCCGGACGGACCGCCGCAGGGGGCTGCGGGGGCGGGGCTCTGGCAGAAGGGTCGAGGCGGAGGGGGAGGAGGCGCACGAGGAGCTGCCCGCCCTCGCGGGCGGCGACGGCGCGGTTGCGAGGATGCCTCGAGCGGTGGCGCCGCGGTTGTGGGGATGTCTCGAGCGGCGGCGCCGCGGTTGTGAGGACGTCTCGAGCCGCGGCGCTGCGGCTGTGAGGACGCCTCGAGCGGCGGCCGCGCTTTTGTGAGCGTGTCTCGGGCGGCGGCGCCGCGGTTGCGAGCATGCCTCGAGCGGCGGTGCCGCGGTCGTGGGGATGTCTCGAGCGGCGGCGCGTCCCAGGGAGGGAGGGTATGTAAGGGAGGGACATGGGCGCACAGGGCACGGCGAGGGGAGGGCATAGCACAAGTCGAGGGGGGGGGGCAAGTTCTCGGGATCTGGGCAAGCTCTCGGGATCCTCGAACCTCCTCTCGCTCAGGTCCGCGTGCTCGTCTCCACCCACCGCCGTCCCCCCTTGGCTGCTCATTCTGGGGACCTTCCTGGAGCCACTCGCTCCACTCGTGCGTCGAGGCTGCGTCGAACGCCCGTCGATTCGAGTTGAACTTGAGTCGAACCTGAGTCGAAGCTGAGTCGAACTGGACTCGAGCTTTAATCGAACTTCACTCGAACTCGAATCGAACTTGACTCGAACTGATCCTCTAGGTGAACCCCAAAGAAGGTTCTCAATGCGGGCGATACTTCTGTCCATATCCACTGCAAGATTCAGTTTCGGGCTCCCTTCCCCAGACACTCGAGGCGCACTGGATATGGATAAATCTGCCACCTAGAGGCTCGATCTTTACCCATTCCCAGTGCACCTCGGCCTCGTGGCGCCCCGTCCAAGCACGTCCAAGACGCACTGGATATGAATATAAGTCTTCCCCGCAGCTCAAGTCCGCGTGCTCGTCTCGACACACCACCGTCCCCCCTTGGCTGCTCATTTTTGGGACCTTCCTGGAGCCACTCGTTCTACTCATGCGTCGAAGCTGTCCCGAACGTCCGTCGATTCGAGTCGACCTTGAGTCGAACCTGAGTCGAAACTGAGTCGAACTGGAGTCAACCTTGAATCAATCGAACTTCACTCGAACTTGAATCGAACTTGGCTCGAACTTGACTCGACGAGGGTCGAACAGATCCGTTAGGTGGGCCTCCGGAAGGTCCTCAACAAATCCGCATGCTCGTCTCGACCCACCGCCGTCTCTCCCCCTTGACTCGACGAGGGTCGAACAGATCCGTTAGGTGGGCCCCCGGAAGGTCCTCAACAAGCCCGCATGCTCGTCTCGACCCACCGCCGTCTCTCCCCCACCCCCGCTGCCGCCGTCCAGAGCGGCGAGCCCCCACGCGGCCACGGCCAGCGCGGCCACCTCGCGCAGCGCGCGGGGCAGAGACGTCACGAGAAGGCGGAGGCTGCCTGTGCAGCCGGGGCCCGACCAGAGAAAAACCTTCCACAAGAAACCCAGCCCTGAGATCAGGTCGGGCGTGTCCTCCTACAGGCGGATGTTGGACGAAACTTCAAACATCCCCCTAAACATATTCAAAGCATAATCAAAATATCGTCCCCTGACCATGTTTTAAACTATTGCTTAATATTCCTCCTGTGAAGTGACAGGCCTGACTTAACCCTGAGACCCCAGGACGTCCATCGTTTTTTGGCGTAGGAACGTCACGCTCTCCATCGCAAAAAACCATCGAAACCCAAGAAGAAACCCATGGCGCCCTGGACGCGAGCAGAGGGTGCTTCTTGGCCCTGGGCCCCAACTGTACCCACGGGGTGCCCAGGGGCCTCATCGAGCTGGCAGGAGGGTGGAAGAGCAGGGAGAGGCTAGCGCAAATTTTCGGATTCGGCGTTTCGACAATGGGTTTAGGTCGGGCGTGTCCTCCTACAGGCGGATTTTGGACGAACTGTAATAATCCCACCAGCCCTCTGGGCGTCGGTGGTTTAGAGAATTTCCTCTTCCGCCCCCCCTTCTTCCCCTTCGGTGAAGGGTTTACCCCTCGCTCTACCCCCTCCCCATGGACCTGGACAAGGGGTTCCGCGAGGTGTCGGAGCGTCCAAAACGGCCTCGGCGAGGAAGCACAACTCATTGGTTTTACTAAGGTGTTGGCCCCATTTTGGCCTCCTGGGGGGGGGCGCAATCAAGGATCCCTCCCTTCGTTGACCGATATCATCCAAGATGGTCCCAAGGGAGCCCCTAAAGCTTCCAAGAACGCCCCGACAAGGCCCCCAAAGGAGCCCAGACGGGCCCAAGAGGCGCCCAGGAGGCCCCAAGAGGCCCCATGATGGCCCCAAGGTAGCCCCAAAATGACCCCAAGAGACCACCAGAAGACCCCTAAGAGGACCCCAAGCGGCCTCCCCGAGGCGCCCAAGACGCCCAAGAGTCCTCAGGACCGCCAAGAGACCCGAGACGTCCCAAGAGGCTTCAAAACAACCGCCCACGAGATATCCCAAGGGGCTCCGAGAAGCATTCAAGAAACCTCCAAGAGACCCGAAGAGGCTTCACGAGGATCCCCGAAGCCCCCAAGATCCCCCCCAGACGCTCCAAGAGGTTTCCAAAACAACCCCCAAGAGACATCCTAAGAGGATCATATGTCCGCCCTGTTTCCTCCGCCTTATCCTTGTCCTTCTTCTTCTTCTTATCCTCCTCCTCTCCTCCTCCTCCTTTTCCGTCTACTCATCATCCGAGAACCAGCACCATCAGCAACAACAGCAGCAGCACTAGCAACAGCAGCAACAGCAGCAGCAGCAGCAGTACCAGCAGGAGCAAGAACACCAACAATAACACTTGCAACCTTCGCCACAAAAGATCTCCCAATTCACCGTTGTTGCCCGCTCCGGTTCACTATGTGTGTCTCTTCTTCCCTTCTTCCGTCAACTTTCCTGGGCATCGTTTCTGGATGGGCTGGTGGGGATACTTTTTCCCAACCATCCTGTGGTGTTGGGTCCTCGTTTTGAAGAGACGGTGCCCCGCGTCTCCCTCACTCCTCCTCCTCCTCCCGCTGCCTCCTCCCTCCGCCCTCCTCTCCCTCGTTGCCTCTGCTCACGGCGCACCCCTCACACGTTTCGTAGCCCCATAGGGAGCTCCACCTAAGGGCCCAGTGGCGCAGTTCGCATGCGTCTCCCCCACCCAGGACAGTGTTTCGTGGCCCCATAGGGAGCTCCACCGAGGGTCCCAGTGGCGCAGTTCGCATGCGTCTCCCCCACCCAGGACAGCTTTTCGTGGCCCCATAGGAAGCTCCACCGAAGTCCCAGTGGCGCAGTTCGCATGCGTCTCCCCCACCCAGGACAGCGTTTCGTGGCCCCATAAGAAGCTCCACCGAAGGCCCCAGTGGCGCAGTTCGCATGCGTCTCCCCCATCCAGGAGGACAACGTTTCGTGGCCTCATAGGAAGCTCCACCGAAGTCCCAGTGGCGCAGTTCGCATGCGTCTCCCCCGCCCAGGACAGCGTTTCGTGGCCCCATAGGGAACCCCACCGAGGGTCCCAGTGGCGCAGTTATCATGCGTCCCCCCCACCCAGGACAGCGTTTCGTGGCCCCATAGGGAGCTCCACCGAGGGTCCCAGTGGCGCAGTTCGCATGCGTCTCCCCCACCCAGGACAGCGTTTCGTGGCCCCATAGGGAGCCCCACCGAAGGCCACATTGGTGCAGTTCGCATGCGTCTCCCCCAACCAGGACAGCGCTTCGTGGCCCCATAGGGAGCTCCACCGAGGGTCCCAATGCCGCAGTTCGCATGCGTCTCCCCCACCCAGGACAGCGCTTCGTGGCCCCAGAGAGAGTGCTTGGTTTTCCCGGCGGGCCGTACTAGTACGCCGAAGTACGCCCACTAGTACGACCCGGCGGGTCGTACTAGTACGCCGAAGTACGCCTACTAGTACGACCCGCGGCGCCCGGGAGGCGTACTCGTATAGCAGAAGTACGCCTACTAGTACGACCCGGCGGGTCGTACTAGTACGCCGAAGTACGCCTACTAGTACGACCCGCGGCGCCTGGGAGGCGTACTCGTAGGGCCGAAGTACGCCTACTAGTACGACCCGGCGGGTCGTACTAGTACGCCGAAGTACGCCTACTAGTACGACCCGCGGCGCTGGGGAGGCGTACTCGTTGGTCCGATGTACGCCTACTAGTTCGCCCCGCTGGGTCGTACTAGTACGCCGAACTACGCCCACTAGTACGCTCGCGGGGCGAAGGAGGCGTACTCCTAGGGCCGAAGTACGCCTACTAGTACGACCCGTCGGGTCCTACTAGTACGCCGAAGTACGCCTTCTGGTACGACCCGCGGCGCTCGGGAGGCGTACTCGTTGGTCCGAAGTACGCCTACTAGTTCGCCCCGCTGGGTCGTACTAGTACGCCGAAGTACGCCCACTATCACGACCCGCGGGGCGAAGGAGGCGTACTCCTAGGGCCGAAGTACGCCTACTAGTACGACCCGCGGCGCCCGGGAGGCGTACTCGTAGAGCTGAAGTACGTCTACTAGTACGACGCGGCGGGTCGTACTAGTACGCCGAAGTACGCCTACTAGTACGACCCGCGGCGCCCGGGAGGCGTACTCGTAGGGCCGAAGTACGCCTACTAGTTCGCCCCGCTGGGTCGTACTAGTACGCCGAAGTACGCCCACTCGTACGACCCGCGGGGCGAAGGAGGCGTACTCCTAGGGCCGAAGTACGCCTCCTAGTACGACCCGGCGGGTCCTACTAGTAGGCCAGAGTACGCCTACTAGTACGACCCGCGGCGCTGGGGAGGCGTACTCGTTGGTCCGAAGTACGCCTACTAGTTCGCCCCGCTGGGTCGTACTAGTACGCCGAACTACGCCCACTAGTACGCTCGCGGGGCGAAGGAGGCGTACTCCTAGAGCCGAAGTGCGCCTACTAGTACGACCCGGCGGGTCCTACTAGTAGGCCAGAGTAGCCCTACCAGTACCCCCCCCCAACCCCCCAGGGCCGTACTAGTAGGCCTACTAGTAGCTCTGTGGGGGCGGACTTTCGGGGACGTCTCGAGCAGAGCCTCACTCCGCCGGTCGTACTAGGAGCCCAAAGTAGCCCTACTAGTAGCCCCGGCGGGGCGGACTTTCGAGGATGTCTCGAGCGGAGGCCCCCTCCGCCGGTCGTACTAGTAAGCCAAAGTACCCTACGAGTACGCCCCCGCCACTCTCCCAGGGACCGTACTAGTAGCCCAAAGTAGCCCTACTAGTAGCCCCTCCAAAGCGAACTTGTGAGTATGTCTCAGGGGGGGCTCTCTCCGCAATTCGTACTAGTAGGCCAAAGTAGCCCTAATTACTAGTACGCCCCCGCCAACCAACCAGGACCGTACTGGTAGGCCAAAGTAGCTCTACTAGTAGCCCCGCCGGCCATCCCCCCGGGTCCGTACTAGTAGGGCTACTTCGGCCCTACTAGTAGCACCGCCGGGGCGGACTTTCGAGGATGTCTCGAGCGAGGGCCCCCTCCGCTGGTTGTACTAGTAAGCAAAAGTAGCCCTACTAGTACGCCCCGGTGGGGCGGACTTTCGAGGATGTCTCGAGCGAGGGCCCCCTCCGCCGGTCGTACTAGTAGGCCAAAGTAGCCCTACTAGAACGCCCCCGCCAGACCACTCTGGACCGTACTAGTAGGCCAAAGTAGCCCTACTAGTAGCCCCGGCGGGGCGGACTTTCGAGGATGTCTCGAGCGGGGGCTCTCTCCGCCGGTCGTACTAGTAGGCCAAACTAGCCCTACTAGTACGCCCCCGCCAGCCCCCCGGGGCCCGTACTAGTAGGCGAAAGTAGCTCTACTAGTAGCCCTGCTGGGGCGGACTTTCGAGAATGTCTCGAGCGGGGGCGCCCTCTGCCGGTCGTGCGATTGGCAAAAGTAGCCCTACTAGTACGCCCCGGCCATCCTCCCCGGTCCGTACTAGTAGGGCAACCTCGGCCCTACTAGTAGCCCCGGCGGGGCGGACTTTCCAGAATGTCTCGAGCGGGAGCGCCCTCCGCCGGTCGTACTAGTAGGCCAAAGTAGCCCTACGAGTACGCCCCCGTCAAGCTCCCAGGGGCCGTACTAGTCGGCCAAAGAAGCCCTACTAGTAGCCCCGCCAGGGCGAACTTTCGAGGATGTCTCGAGCGGGAGCCCCCTCCGCGGTCGTACTAGTAGGCCAAAGTAGCCCTATTAGTACGCATTCGCAATCCCTTCAGGCCCGTACTAGTAGGCCCAAAGAACCCGACTAGTAGCCCCCGCTTGGGCGGACCTTCGAGGATGTATCAAGCAGGGGCGCTCTCCGCAGGTCGTGCTAGTAGGCCAAAGTAGCCCTACTACTACGCCGCAGCCATCCCCCCAGATCCGTACTAGTAGGGCCACTTCGTCCCTACTAGCAGCCCCGGCGGAGCGGACTTCCGAGAATGTCTCGAGCGGGAGCGCGTTCCGCCGGTCGTACTAGTAGGCCAAAGTAGCCCTACTAGTACGCCCCCGCCAGCCCCCCTGCTTGGATGGCCGCGGCGGCTGCTAGGTGGTTAGCGCGGATACTAAGGGGTTAGAGGATTTAGTATGTACGTACAAGTGAGTTGTAAGTAGGTTATAAGTGTTGTAAGTCGGATGTAAGTTGTATAACCAGCTACAACTGGTTAGTAGGAGATACTAACCACTTATAGCTGGAGGCTAACCTTGCTAAGTCTCTAGTAGAGGTTAGCTCGCTAAGTCCCCACTCTAGCTATCACTTGCTAACCACTTAGTAACCACTTAGCTGCCACTTAGTAACCACCCAGTAACCACTTACTAACCACTTAGTAACCACATAGTAAGTCCGCTAGCTAGCTTACTTACTAAGTGGTTAGCGGACTTACTAAGTGGTTAGCGGACTCTGAGAAGGAGAAGGAGGAGGAAGAGAGGAGGAGGAGGAGGAGGAGGAGGAAGAGGAGGGGGAGAGAGGAGGAGGAGGAGAAGGAGGAGGAGGAGGAGGAGAAGGAGGAGGAGATGTCGAGGAGGAGGAGGAGTAGGAGGAGGACGGGGAGGAGGATGAGGAGGAGGAGGAAAGGGGGAGGCGGCGGCGGAGGCGGCGACGGGCGCGCCTCAGCCCAAGACGGCCGCTCGACGCGGCGGCCCTGCAGGGCCGCCGCGTCGAGCGGCAGCCTGGCGCGGCTGAGCGCGGCGCAGGCGAAGTTCGCCTGCGCCGCGCTCTGCGCCGCCATCTCCAGCGGCATTGCCGCTGGCGCGGGCGGCGGGGGGGGGCCCCGCGCGCCGCTCGGCAGCCAGAGCGGCCCACCGCACGTAGCCGTCGTCCACAACCCAGAGGGTTGGGGGACGACGACGTGCGACGGGCCGATGGCTGCCGAGCCCGTCCCACCCCTCGGGGATGTCGAGGAGGATCCCCGACATCCCCGAGGGGTCCTCCGAGAGGAGACTGCCCCATGGCTCGGGGTCGCCATCGAAAAACATGTCTTGATATGTTTTTTTCGATGGCGATCCCGAGCCGCGAAGCAAAGGGAAAAGGGAGGGCGCGCTCCCCGCGCGGCTTGTAAGCCGCACGCGCGCGGGCGGCGTCTCCTCCTTCCCCCCTCCTTTCTATCCTCCTCCTCCTCCTCCTCCTCCTCCCTCTCCTCTCCTCCTCCTCCTCCTCCTCCTCCTCCTCCTCTCCGCTCCTCCTCTCGCCCTCCTCCTCTCTGTCATCATCAATATACTCTTACCTCGTCCTCCTCCTCTCCTCCTCTCCTCTCCTCGTCCTCCTAACCTCCCGCTCCTCCTCGTCTCCTCCTCCCCCCCCACCCCCTCCTCATCCTCCTCCTCCTCCTCCTCATAGCTCCTTCTCTCTCCTCCTCCTCCTCCTCCCCCTCCTCCTCCTCCTCCTCCTCCTCCTCCTCCTCCCCCCCCAAAAGAAAATCCTCCTCCTCCTCCTCCTCCTGCCTCCTCCTACCTCAGCCTCCTCCTCCTCGTCCTCCTCCTCCTCCTCCTTTCCCTCCTCCCCCCCCCCCCCTCCTCCTCCCCATCCTCCTCTCGCTCTGAGCTATCTCGTCGTTTTCCTCCTCCTCATGCTCCTCCTCCTCCTCCTCCTCCTCCTCCTCCTCCTCCTCCTCCTCCTCCTCCTCCCCCTCCCCCTCCTCCACCCTCCCCCCCTCGTCAGAGGAGGGGGGGAGAGGAGAAGGGGGAGGGGGAGCAAGATGAGGAGGAGGAGCAGCAGTAGGAGCAGGAGGAAGAGGGGGAGAAGGGGGAGGACGCGGGGAAGGAGGAGTTTGAACGACCGCACCACTGATCAACGACATTAGCGCTGCAGCGCAAGAGGAGGAGGAGGAACGAGGCGGAGGAAAGGAATCGGCGACCATGCACTGTTCAGGTGCTGCAGCACCGAAGTGTCAATGAAAAAGGTGCGCTATGCAGAAGGAATCCACGTTTTCAAGGCGGAGAAGAGGAGTCGTCGACCATGCAACGTTCAGGTGCTGCAGCACCGAAGCATTTAGCATTGTAAAAAAGTGCGCTGCAGCGCCAGTAAGGAATCCACGTTTTAGGCTAAAGCGCACCACCGCGGCTGCGACCATATCGGGCGCGCCACTCGGATGCCGCCGCCCTCGCGCGGCGCCCACGCGAGCGAGCACGCGATGCTCGCCGTGTGCGCCCAAATGGCGTCGGCATCGCCGCCGAGCACGTGCGCGGAGGCGCGCGGGTGCAGCTTCTCCTTGAAGAAGTAGGGCAGGACCAAGCTCAAGCCATAGTAGTGGCCGTTCTTGGTGAAGGAGAGGAGTTTCAACACCTCGGCCGCAATGTGTTCCCCTCCTCCGTCCTCCAACAGCACGACGTCGCCGTATTTGACGTCGTGGTAGCGGCACCGCGCTGCAGCGGACGTAACAAAGTCCGCAGGCCCGAACTGCTGCAGCAGTTCGCGCGAGATGGCCTTGGACGGCCTGGTGGCGTTAACCAGGCAGTTAACCTTAGAGCTGCCACAGGTGCCGCTCGGTGACGCTCTTCAGGACATTGGCGTCCCAGCCGCTGGAGGCTGCAGCCCCCACCTGAAGAGCGTTCGCAAAGCGCTTGCTGGTCTTGTGCTTGCGCTCCAAAACCCAGCACGACGGCAGCGCCACATGGCCCCAACGCCTCGCGTAGTTGGCGAAGTGGTGCAGGTAATGGAACTTCTGCGCCATCGTTTCCTTGCCAAAGACGCTGCTGCATGACAGCAAACACATGTTAACCGCAGCCTGCAGCTTATCCGCGTCTGCCTGACGCCTGGATACTCGTAGGATTTCTTCCACAACGATCGTGTGCGCCTCGAACACTGCGCAAGCCGATCGGACTGCAGGCGCTGCAGCGTCGCTAGCCACCTCCCTGAAGAAACGCGTCAATCCGCCCGCGCGAACGCATGTCCGAACAAGAGGGGTGCAGTACAGATCCTACAGAAATTCACGTGCGCTGCAGCGCATGTATTATTGGTCTGGCGGGGGCGCGAAGCATGCAATGGTACTTGCATGGTTGTGAGCCCCTCGCTGGCGGTACACTTGAAATGCTTGCTGTCAACGTGGGACCTCGCGCGCTTCTCGCCGAAGATCGCGCGCGTGTCGGGGGAGATGGAGTGGCACCCTGGAAACGACCAGTCCTGGAAATATGCGTCTGCGCGCGCCCAGTAACCCTTCAACCTTCGAAACATTTGGAACACCAGAATGTTATATGTACCGTTGACGAAATACAATGCATCCAATCAAACATGACTGTCTCGAGCGGCTTGAGTTTCCGAACCCGCTCAGGCAAATGGGGGTCCCAGTTCCAGCCAAGTCGGCGCTCCAACTCCTGGAACTCGCCCTTGTTCATGATGTTGACCCCTTCGATCAATCTGTTGCAGATGGCATCGAGCAACGGCGCCGTCATCGGCTGCAGCCGCGACGCATCTGGTTCCGAGCGGTGAACAGCGACACCCGTCGCATCAGAAGCAACTATATCCCGAACTTCGCCCTTCAAGAACACGTTGCGGCACATAAAACATGGTTTGATTCCTGACGAACCTTTCATTCCGATCAAGCGGTGTATTGCATCCTCGTCCGCGATCCGACAGAGCCGCTGCAGCGACGCAAGAAGGCGTCATGGATATATACATGTGCACATGTATGCTAACTAATCTTGGGTGCTATGCGGCGACCGCTGCAGCGGCTGAATGTAATTCCGAGGTCCATCTGGATGAGCTCCGTCGCGCCGTCGGGGCGCAGCCGCAAGCTGATGCCTGCGCTGAAGTTGTGCCCCTGATCAGGCCAGAACTGCGCGAGGATTGCGTCCAGTAGCATCGTCAGTCCGTGCGGCTGGATGTCGTTCGCGGTCTTGGCCCGCATCGTCGCGAGCTGGAACCACGCATCCTGCGAACAAATCGCAGCACAACTGGCGCTGCAGCGCCTCTCTCTCTCTCTCTCTCTCCCTCTCTCTCTCTATATCTCTCTCTACCCCCCTCCCCCCCCCCCGCATATATCGTTGCTGCAGCAACGCTATCGCGAAAGTCCTCCGACGAAAGCGCCTGCGGGCCGAATTCCGCGATCGCCCAGTAGATGCCCCAGGACTTGCGGTTCTGCACGTGCGCCAGCGCGCTGCCAGCGCCTATTTCATCGCCGTAAATGATGATGTGCCACGGGCGCGGCAGCTCCAGCGCCCGCTGCCACGGAGGCTGCGTCGCGGGGAGGGCGCTGCAATACCACAGCATTGCTGCTGGACTGCAGATCTCCACCGCGCGCTGCCCGACTATCATGTTCTGGTGGAGCTTGCCGCACGGCGTGTTCTCACCGACCATGGGCTCCCGAGCGTCTCTGATATCCTGGCGTCGGGATCCCAATTCGGGGATTCCGTCTCGCTCAACGGACGCCAGGAATTGCGCCATCGCATTACAATGCGTGAATGGCAGTTCCGCGCGAAGGCGGGACAGCCGCCGCAGCTTCGCTGGGCGGTCGTCCTCTGCCGCCATCGCGCGCGTTCCCGAGGCAAGCTTGCCTCCGTCGCTGCGCGCGCGCGGACGCGCGGAGGGGCCCCTCCGCTAGGGGACACGGCGACTACGGATGGAAATGAGGCTGCACCGCGTGGAGAGCAACCAAAAATGCGCGCTGCAGCGCCAACTGCCAAGCAACAGTCTGGGAGCACATGGCGCTACAGCGCCGCTAACGTTCAATGATGGCAATCTGACGCGCTGCAGCGCGAACGTCCTCCTCCTCCTCCATCCTGCTCGCCATCCCCCTCGTCCTCCTCCTCTTCCTCCCCCTCCTATACCTCCTCCTCCTCCTCCTCCTCCTCCTCCTCCTCCTCCTCATGCGCCCCCTCATCCCCCCCATCCTCCTCCTCAACCTACCCATCCTCCTCCTCATCCGTCTCCCGTCCCTTCATCCCCCCCGTCACCATCACCTTCATCATCGACAGCATCAATATCACTCGCCCTCATCATCCGCCACAACACCATCCAACGAGAAACTGCAAGCGAAACTGCGCTGCAGCGCAACACATTAACACATCATGATCCGCGCGCAAACTTTCAACCGTGGTCCACGGAGAAGCGCTGCAGCGCAACTCAAACAACACGCTCAACCACGTTCCCTCCAGCCTTTACCAAACAATCGAACCAGCATGCTTCAGCAGGCGGTCGCCGAGGCGGACCTCACTCAGGTCGCCTTCATCTTCTTGGCGTTCCGCAGCGAGGTCAACGCCTCGTTGAGTTTCTGGTTGGCCACGTCCGAAGCGGCGATGTCCATCTGACCCCGACCCTGCTACTCATGCTCCTCATCCTCCCACATCATCGCCTTCCACCTCCTCCTGATCATCCCCCCTGTCGTCCTTCTCCCCCGCTGCAGCGGGGGAGTAGCCTGCCACACGCATGAACCCCACCGTCCTCCTTCTCATCCGCCTCCTCATCCACCTGCAGCTCCGCGGTGCGGATCTGCACCTGCTTCTCCGCTGTCCTGGCGTTCTTCCGCGCCTCCTTCACCTCTGCTGTAGCAGTCGCCGTCGCTCTCGCGCGGGCCTCGCGCAACTCGTCGCGACGGTCGGCGCGCGCTTGCGCTTCGAACGGCTTGTCGCAGCGGCGCGCCGCCATTGCGAGCCCAGTGAGGAGGCGGAGGAGGTCCGTTGCCAGCACCCGCTGCAGCGAACGATGGCGGATGCGACGCGCGAGCCAAGTGAAGAGGAGGAGGAGGAGGAGGGGGAGGGGGGCATGCCATCGGCAACGCGCAACATGAGCGAATCACAGCGCTGCAGCGCGTGACTTGGCAACAACCATGCGGGAGACAACGCTCGACATCACGAATGATGGCGCTGCAGCGCGTATCGACGAGGAACGACTGGCACTCAAGACGGGCACGTCACGCAATACATGGACACCGCGGCTGCAACTGCACACTCACAAACGCGCCAACGCTACAACGGCACCACAAGTCTGACAGGCGCTGCAGCGCTGCATCGGTACACAACAGCGCGCAATATCTACGCCACCATCCAGGAAAGCGAGCGCTGCAGCGCTGCATCGTGATCATGATGGCGATGCAAACGTTGACCACAAAGGCGCCAGCTCTGCAGCGCCCGCATCCAAGAGAACCCGTCAACATATTTGACTTTCATCCTCCTCGTCGTCCGTGCGAGCCGCGCGACCGCCAGGCAAGACCATCGCCACAACCGTTCATATCATCGGCCAGCGTTCCATCCAACCTCGCACTAATCCTCACCATCCTCCTCATTCCTTCTCCTCCACCTGCTCATCCTCCTCATCATCCTACCCATCCTCCTCCTCGCCCTCATAATCCTCATCCTCACCTCCATATGCCGGCAGTGCCCGTTGCGCGCTCGCGGCTTGCCGCGACGGCCAGTGAAGTTCGGGTCGCGGCACGTGCCGCAGCCATTCGGCAGGTAGCGGCATTTGCTGCACCCGAGTGCCATTTGGCCCCGTTTGGTTGCCGCCTTGCCCTTGGGCTTGGCCTTTGCCTTGGCTTTGGCCTTCCCTTTGCCCTTGGCCTTCGGTTTGGCCGTGCCCTTGGCCGCCGTCTTGCCCTTGCCAGCGCCTGTCTTGCTCTTGCCCTTGATCGCGCTCTTGCCCTTGCCCTTCTTGCCCTTGCCCTTGCCCTTGCGAGGCAGCTCGCCTTTCGCGCTGCCCGCAGCCAAGGTCTCGATCGCCTGCAGCACAGCATCCTCGTCTCCGCCTGCTGCTGCAGCAGCATCTTCGTTTGGCGGCGTTGGCGCTGCTGCAGCAGCATCTGGCGCCGCCGCTGACAATGCTGGCCCAGCTGGCGAATCGCCAATCGCGGGGGGACTCGCGGGGGGGCTCGCCGTGGGCGCCGCAGGGCGGCGCGGGAAGAGCTGCAGCTGCAGCTCGTTGGGCGGCGATGGCGGTGGCGCAAACGCTGCCAGCATTTGCTGCATCACGGCCATCGCGTCCATGGGTTGCATTGGCGCTGCAGGCGGCACGGAGGGTGACCCCGATGGTGTCCATGGCACAATGGCAGTGCTCGGTTGATGCGGTGGGGCGGCAGCCCGCAAGCCCTTGTTGGTCAGCCTGAGAGGCACGCGAGCCTTGATGGCGTTGAGACCCGCAGGCCGCTTCAGCGGCGCACGCGTAGCATGAAACCTATCATGCTCTATGCGAGGTGGACCTAAAGGACCGAGCTCACCGAAGCACCCAAGACATCCAGAACAATCAGCGCTGCAGCGCATGACGGGGCGGCAGCAGCCTCGTAGATGCGATACCACGTTGGCGAGGTCGCGCGTCACATCGATCGGCGGGTCCGCATCGGTGTACGCCGCGTCGAAGATGTGCTGAGGGAGCTGCCAAGGATCTGCTGGGGAATTCCAAGTCACTGTCGCCGCTTGCCCCGTCGCGCCCCTGCGGCTCGCCAAGAACTGACCCTGTAAAGGGCGACTCGTCGGGAAACCCTAACGCTGACGCGCCGCATCGCATTGGCTGCAGTCAGTGCGATATGATGCGTCTGCGTTAGGCGTTCCCGCCGAATCCCAAACCTTCATCTCCGTCACGATCCCGTAGAGCTGCCCAGGGTTTGCGTCTGGAAGATGGGCGCATGCCATCAACGCCGCCAACTCTTTCAGCGTGTTCTCGCTCGGAACCGTCAAGCCGATGGCACCGCAACGTTTGATCAACGCGCGCACCTTCGCGACGATGCTCTGGCTGGGGTCGCGAAATAAACCCCAGTCCTGCATGGTAAAGCCCACCAGCCTACGAATCGACGCAGGCATGCTGCAGCATGCTAACATAAATACATTTGAAAAATGAACATGGTAACATACATAAAGTACAGAACAAACAATTAAACCATACATGTGAATAACACTTCGGCGGTCCGATGTGCAAGGCGCGATGGATAGCACCGCCCTGACGCGAGCGTCTGCACGCGCATCTGGAGCGCGGGCGTCGCCGTGCCCACGCGCGCGGCCAGCACGGCGCTGAGGCGCGCCTTGTGGCTGTCCGCGAAGCCCGACGCGGTGATTCGATTCTGCAGGGTAGCTGCTTGGGCATCCCCGATCGTCCCCAAGTTGTGAAGCTGCAGCTGCACGCTCATGGACAAGGCGGACTGGCTCTGCGCCATCGCGTCGGCGGCGATGACGCCGATCTGCGATGCGAAGAAGGCGTCGCAGCTGTCCAGGTTATCCAGGATGTGGTTGATGGGTGTGGCCGCAGCCGCGGCAGACATGATGCCCTCCGCGAGGGCGAGGGGGTGCGCGGACGCTCCGAGGGGAAGCGCGAGGGAGGGCCCCCCACACTGCGAGAGCTGAAGCACTCGGCTGCTGAGGTGGAAGAGAGGCCACAACAGTACAGATGCGCTGCAGCGCAACGATCGCATGCAATTAAGGAAAACACGTGAGCGCTGCAGCGCTCAGCAGAAATCATCGTCACAAAGTAACATGAAGCGCTGCAGCGCTTTGCATGCGCACCATGATGGAACGCATGGTAGTGGGCAATAGGGAGAGAGATATAGAGTGATGGAAAGGAGAGGAGGGAGATAATGAGGGACACAGGGGGGAGGGGGAGGGGGGGGGCGGCGGGAGGAGATGCGAGGAGACCAGGGGGGGGGGGGGGGGATGGGGGGGGGGGAGAGTAACAGCGGGCGGGGGCGGGCGGGGGCAGGACACAGGGGGGGGGGGATCATGATCCTTTGAGGAACACGGAAGGCGTTCGAACGACACTGAGGGTTGTGCGGACCTGGGAGAACACACAGGCGCGGGGGGGGGGGGGGGGGGGGGGTGGGAAGGGGGGGGGGTTGTGGGGGGGGGGGGGGGGGGGGGGCACGGAAGAGACGCGGGAGGGGCGCAGGAGTTCGGGGGCGAGCGGGCGGACGGACGCGGGAGCGGTGCGGAGGGACACGGGCGGGAGCGCACGGAAGGCATGTGGAGACACGGAAGGGGCACGGGAGAGACGCGGGAGAGACACGGGAGACGGACAGGTATACACGGGAGCTCGGGAGCGGGCGGGCGGGCAGACACAGGAGGGACACGGAAGGTGTCCGAGGAGGGCGCGGGACGGATTCAGGAGATGCGCGAAGTGTGATCAGGAGCTAATACCGAAGCGATCTGGGAGCCTCGAAGGCAGCTGGGACATCGACAGAGGCGTGTCTGTTCAATAGAGGGGGCTATTGAACAGACACGGGCGTGGCTGTTCAATAGAGGGGGCTATTGAACATGGCATGTTCAATAGAGGGGGCTATTGTACAGACACGGGCGTGGCTGTTCAATAGAGGGGGCTATTGAACAGACACGCCGCTGTCAGACAGCATCACCTCTGCAGAGGGGCACCGACGCTCTCAGATCGCTTCACCCGAAGCTCCCTTTCGACCTCAGACCAGCCATCCTGATGCCAACATCCAGCACTCCAGCCCACCCCAACGCCCACCCACGCAGTCCCAGAACACTGTCCACACTGCTGATTTCGAGGTGGGAGTGAAACTAAGCGAGGCGCGAAGTACATCACGCGGCGCTGCT